CACACACACACACACACACACACACACACAATTTCAGAATGTCATTTTAAAAAGTTAACAAGGGCCAGCCAAATATCTCAGTGGGTTAAAGCGCCTGCTTAGGCAGATGCAGCAGCCCAGGTTTGACCCCTGGCCTGCCATGCCGGCCCCACTCCCGGGGCGCGCTGAGACAGTGATTGAGACTGGGCGTGGTAGCACGTGCCTGTAATCCCAGCTCTTGGGAGGCTTGAACACAGACAGATCACTACGAGTCTGATCTACGTAGAGACCCTGTAGACCCTTTACTAAAAAATAAAAAGTTACTCGATCAACAACACACAAAAAAGCAGCGTAGCAGCTTTCCCTACTGGACCCTTCCTGCCTTCTCTGGTGAGTCCCTTTTGTTCACTGCTTTCAGTGACCACTGTGTGACACCATGCAGAACAGATCCCCAGTCTTTGCTCTAGCAGGGCTGATGACAGTTTCAGCCATGTACTCTTAGGAATCTTGTGAACTGGGCAGAAGCCATCACATGGTCCTTGCAGGCACGAGGGGTAGGCCCCAGCGCCGGCCAGGCACCCCAAGCCAGCCCTCACCCTTGGAAGCGTGCTGTGCCGTGCCGTGCCGTGCTGCAGAGACTGTTTCTGATCGAACACTTTCTGCTTGGGGCGGGCATGATGAGTCAGTCTGCTTTTCAATTCACACATCTGCAGACTGGAAGAGGTCTCCGAATGCTCGTCTGGCTCTCCCCATCTCAAGCCTTGTCCCGCTCTCCCTGCGTGCCCCCAGCGGGTCCTGGAAGCCTGGCTGTGGTCAGAGCCTGGATGATGTGGGTGCAAGCTGGGTTCCAACAGCACCCTTAGGCGTGGCGAGAAGGGTGGCCGCCATGGCAGCTGTCTCCAGGGAGCCCAAGCTGCGCACCTGCGAAAGCCCGCTTGCCCGGTTCAGTAAACACTGTGGGTGCCAATCATTCAGGAAGCTGTCACTGAGGGGGCCAGCTTGGAAGGGGCTGCTCACAAGATGTGCTGAAGCTGGCTGGGCATTCAGTCTTTAAGAATTTACTACAGTGAAAGGCGCAGCGCGTCTCCCCCAGATCTTCGCTCGCGTCGAGCACACTGCTCCAGCTGCTGCTGCCACTTCCCTCTTTTATGAGCGTCTTTAGCTGCATTTTCATGGCAGCCTGAATGCCCTGAGCTGATGCAAAACATTTACCTTTTCTCGCCATTTTGACTTTGGGGAAGAACCAGTGGTCCTTGGTGCCAGATGTGGTATAAAAGGTGGGTGAGGACACGTAATGCTTTCACCAGCCTGCCTTTCTGTTGGATGGCATCTGGCAGCGGCGCTCATCCAACTTAGGATCATACCTGAACGACACCACAGAGTGCTTCGGAACTGCTTCAGAAAATGGCAAGGGTGATGCAATCGTCAAGGAGTGTTTGAAGCAAGCACAGAGATTTTGAGGGGGGTTAGTGGCAGTGTCCCTCCATACATCTTGGCTTGCCCACTCAGGAGTCCAAAGCAGGGCAGTGAGCCGCGCCCCTGCATGCTGAGGAGAGGCCGGCCGCTGGGTCTGGGCTGGCCTGGGGCAGGCGCTGGCAGCAGCCTGGAGACAGCACACCGGTGGCCTCTCGGCACCCGAAGGGCCTCTTCCTTTTTTTTTTTTAAACAGCACTTGATTTTTAAAAAAAATGTATTTAGTACAGGGTCTACAGGGTCTTACTACACAGATCAGACTTGTGATCCTCCTGTTTTCAGCCTCCGAAGCACAGGGATTACAAGTGCGTGCCACCACACCCAATCTCAGTTGCTGTCCCAGTGCACCCTGGCGGCAGGGTCGGCACAGCACGCCGGGGATCGAACCCCCATCGGTGAGCCTGCCTAAGCAGATGCTTTAGTCCGCTGAGCTATTGGGCCGGCCCTTTGATCTTTTTCTTAACCAACATTTCAAACACGTGTTTAACAGTAATAGTAGTAAACCGGCTGCCCGAGTTCCTTCTCACACCTCAAAACCACTCTGAACTTTGAGCTCTTTGTTCTGTAGCTGCTTCCATTCTAAGAATGCTGCTCTGCTGAGTCCCGGACGTGACACCTCTGCAGACCACCAGCACCAGCACTGAGCATGCGTCCTCGCACAGCCCGTTCCTGGCTGCTTTTCTTTGCTTAATATTCTATGTAGGCCTCAGGATCAGAGCTCTCCCCAGACCTCTGACTGAAGTGTAGGTCACGTGCTCACATCTTAGGCTCGTGGGAGCGCCTAGGCTGGTGTGCCCTAAGCTTGTCGGCTACCGAGGAGAATGGCTGCACAGGCAGCCCTGTCCTAGGACTCTTCGGGGTACTTCTGTTGTGTCCTTCTGGGGTCCTCCCACTGTGACCCCCTGCTGTGGGCGGAGCAAGGCCCGATGGGCTGCTGACTGCCATGCTGCCTTCCTGCTGCAGACTTCTGCCACTGCCCACCGCAGAGACCTCTCTGAAGCCCCCAGGAAGGGGACTGACTTCCGCTCTTGTCTGCTTCTCACCTCCACTGTGCACTTTCAATTTAAGTATCTTCAACCACCCTCATGAGAACTGTGGGGTCCCCTGCCTGAGCCCTGCCATGTGCTTCTTAAATCTTGCAAAACTTAGTAAGCGCATCCTGTGTAGCAGAGGTCACAGGCCACATACACCCCTTGCACCCTCCATGGGCGTGGTGTCACTCGCCCAGCGGGGCCTGCTTTGGGTAGGCAGGGCTGAGGTGCCAGACCCAAGGATCCAGGCACCCAACTCCGCACCTAGGGGCCCCCTCAGGGCCAGTGTGCCCGTGTCTTCCCACCTTCACCTGCCACTCCAACGCAGAACCATCCAGCAGACACCAGGGAAGCACTGTGTAGCTTGGCAGCCACCCCAAGGAACGAATGCCACAGCCCCACTTCCTCCAGCCCTTACCAGGGAGACAGTTCACCAGCTTTCTGGCTATCTAGGGGGCATTTGGGGAACCGGCGAAATAGAGAAATCCAAATATTCATATGATTGGTTTAATTTTTCAGCAGGAGAAAAAAGAATAAAGTTACAAGATTCTTTTAATATTTTCACAATGTTAAAACTAAAACTGAGCTCTAGGCTATGTGTGTTAAGTAAATCTAGAACACAAAAGGGTTAAATAAGATTTTTCTCTTTAAAGATACAAGAATTTAAGCTTTCCTTACATTTAACAAACTTCACAGAACAGATACTGTAGGGGAACAAGCCCTTCCTCCCCCACCCCGGCTCTGCCGTCAGGAAGTGAACCTGGCTGCGGTCCCTGCGCTGCCTCTGCCCCATGGCCGCTCCACGCAGCACGGGGGCCTGTGGGAGCTTGGCGGGGGCCGAGGCGGATGCCTCACTGAGAGTGGCCAGACTGGCCAGAGGGCCGTGGCTTGATAGCAGTGGTAAACGCTGGACAGACTGGCCCCTCTGCTCTGGGCTGCCCCAGAGCAAGATACCGGTCTGGGTCCTGAAGCAAGAATTAAGGCTGGAGATTTTGCAGCGGATTCCACTCTGGTGGGGTGGAGGGTGTGGTAGGAGGAGGAGGTTGGGAAGAGCATGATTTCCTATTTCATTACTTCGGATCAAAAACTTGTGGTTGCAGGGGTTCTGCGGTTCATTTGCAGACAGAGATGATTTGTGGTTTGTACAAAGAAAAGGTGCTGGGTCAGTCAGTAGCTGAGGTGTGGGCCACCCCACCAAGCCTGTGCAGGAGCCGCCCGCCCTCGCCCACCTGGGCCTGATGGGGTCCGGGCCCGCTTGCCAGCTGACACAGGCTTTCAGGGGCATCCTCACCCTGTCTACCCAGCCCCCTGCCCGCCCCCCGCCCCAGCTGATGGGTAATGATTTTCTGATGTGGGCAACCAGGCCCACAGCCCTCTCCTGTTCCGGGCCAAGCTTCTATAGCTACTGAACTTGTCTCTGTCTACTTGAAGAGGCACAGGCTAGGCACTGCCCTCCCACCCCCAGCTGTGACGGCAACTGTCACATGGTGCAAACCACTGTCGGACAGAACCAAGTCCACAGTGCTTGTGAAGCATACTGCCTTCCTTCGAAACACACCACATGGCAGAGGTGGTCTGGTCATCCTTGGCCTATGGGACTGCATAGAAACGAGAGTGGAGGCCATGGTGCCGTCCTCTAGGCCCCTGGAGGGGCAAGTGGCTCTGGCTGCAAGGGCAGTGCCTGTGTGGTCTGCAGCTTAGTTTCCAGCACACCTGATGCCTGGTGAATATGAAACATTAAAAAAAAACCAACCGGAAAACAAAAACAAAACCTCCCCACGTAGAAACGGAGCTGCAAAAGGCGCCTGCAGACCTCAGCCACAGCCACTGCCACGAGCCTTCTCTGATCGACTGTCAGATCCCTACGCCTGGCACCAGAGCCACCAGGGTCGGGTATGTGGGCTGCTTGCTGTGATGGCGGCTCTGGTATGCAAGGCGGGTCTCGTGCATGGCCTAGGCTTGAGTGGAGCTAGTTTTCAAAAGTGAGGTTACTGTTTCTCTCGTAGGATGAGTTTTTCATAGCAAGTCAGATAAAAAAAATTTCTGTAAGAATCTGCCCCACCCCACATCCCCAGCTCTGCAGAGAGCAAGGCCACCACCCAGCCCAGCCACACGGCCAAGGTCAGCAGCCTCCCATGGCCAAGGCACGCGTGGCCGTCAGGTGTCCTGGCTACTGGGGTATGAGGGAAAGTGAGGAGGTGAAAGGCCAAACATTACACAGTTCCTGGCAAAGCCATGTGCATCGTGGAAACCTTAACCCCAGCTTCTACTGCTCTATTAACTCAAGAGTCTCCATCTGGAACACTTTCCGCTTAAGGCTTTTTGTAAGGTTGACTCCAGCAGTGACAGGTATGTGTTGTTTTAAATCCACTAGCCATGCTCAAAAAAAATATTCTTCATGTTTTAATTTTATACAATGGCTAGCAGGCACCTTAGTAACCAGCCAGAAATCAGTTTCAACCACCATCAACCCCTAAACTACAGTACCAGGATGGCTGGCTAAAGAAAGGAAACCGACTGGCTGTAGTCTGACGCGTGCCCAGTACAAGGTGTCTGGCTGACTTTGTCCTAAATAAGGCTAACATTAGTGAACTAAGAACAGCGTCATGTGATGGCCGTGCCTGGCCTTCAGGAGCACCCCTCCCCGATGCGCTGGCAGGAGCGCCCCACTTTCCGGTCCAGTTTCACCATTTTCATGATGGCTTCCTCTCGGCCGCGGCCCATGTGGTCAAATGTACAGTCGTGCTGCTCGGGGAGGCGGTGTAACATACAGAACACATAACCTGTGGTGAGAGGAGCAGAGGAGAGACTTGGGTCAGTCATGGCCGTCCTCCAGCTGCCCAAGGCTTCACGGCAGCAGTCTCCCCTGTGACACAAAGGGGTGGCATCCACAGAGGCTGCCACCTGGGCCCAAGCTGACCACAGCAGTGCAGGGAGAGCAGCCCTGTCCCTAGGGACTAAGGGGGCTCTGGACCCTCAGCCAAACCTGTGTAGCAGACGAGCACAGAGCTGCTTGGCTCCTCCTGCACACTGTACTCTCCACCCCAGGACACACCCAACTTCCATGAGGCAGAGAGGGAGGAAAAATTATTGTGGCTTAAATTCCACTCTGCCTCCTGTGCAGTCAGGGCTCCAGGGGATGTGGGAGTGGGGGCTTGTAAAAGAAAATGGGTAACCTTCAAGTCCTGAAAAAAGTGACATGAGAGGTACTGAGCTCTGACTGCCCCTGGGAACCCAGGAGCCAATGCTGCCCCTGGGAACCCAGGAGCCAATGCGTTCGGTCCCTGGGTGCCCCACCCTCCTACACCTGGAGGCAGCTTCAGGGCCTCTCTTGTTGGAGGATGGAAGTCCAAGGGAGACACTGGCTGCACAGACAACAGGGGAGCAAGAGTCTGAAGAGAGGCCACAGTGCAGGAAGAGGGCACTGATGAAGAGAGGACCTTGGGTCAGGAGAGGCTCAGAGCATACAGGGGCATGAGGGACTGCATGAAGGAGCAGCATTCCCTCGTGGAGGGCTCCTGGGAGAGCCTCCTACTGCTCGCCTGCTGTCAGCCCGGGGCCTGGGCCAAGTCCGCAGGAGCAAGCTGCCAAGTGGATTCCTCACCCTGTGCTCCTTCTGTGGATCCCCACAGGATCCCCAGGCCAACAGCCTCCTCCACGAACTGCCTTCTTTTAGGACCAGCACACGCTGGCCACCCCTTGCAAACTGACTCATCTATCCTGCAGCCTCAAATTTATTTTCTGTAGAGGCTGTGACTTCAGAGGGATAGGAGAAGCTGAAGAAAAGACTGAGTGGCAGGACAGATGGAAGTTTCAACAGCCTTAAAGTGGAAGATTCAGTGGCCGTGACGTTTCCATCCACTTAATCTAGATGGTGCTCCTCAGCCTGGGGAGGCAGTGTGCATGGGGCGAGGGCAGGACGCAGGCAGCCCTGCACCTACCCACACGCGTGGGGCCAGGTGTGGCCAGGGCACACGTGTGAAGCGGCTGCGCATCCACTGTTCCAGAAAACACATTATGAGTTGCTTCCCAGGGAGAGCAGGGCAATATGTTTGACTCTAAATTGGGACTGCGTTTACGGAAAAGAACTGAGATGAAATTTTTGTCTCCTGAGAAGCCAACCTCCCACATGGTCCAAAAGCAAAGTTAAGATTAATGAGCTCATGTGTTCTAGTTACTGATAAGTTCATTACTCGAAGATATTGGACACCAGTTGTCTTTCTCCTGAAGGATTTCACAGCAGAATCGTGCACAGCTGCAGTATGCATCTTCCATCCAACAGGCAAGATCGTCTTTCAGAGCAAGTGGCACTAGGGTGTGTCTGCAGACACTGCTGTACTTGCAGAATCCACAATGAGGGGCAGAAGACCCTGCCGCCCTTTTCTTTAGCTACTGGGACGATTCAGGAGGTGGCTCAAGGGCTCTTCTCTGATGGTGAACAGTGCTGGCTGAATTAACCCCTCTCCTGGCTCAGCTCAGCACTTCACTGCTCAAAGGCGACTGGGCAGGGCCTCCAGTGTGTCCTCACCCTGCCCCCATCCACTAAGGCTGCCTTCCACCAGCTGAGGCAGCAACTGTCCCCCATGTTCTCTATCCACCAGGCACTCTACATCTAGCCAAAAGTCTTATTCCCAATACCTATGTTGTAGGGGGACACCTGTTAAGACACTTGGCTTTCATTTCTGAATAGCCATAACTACCCAAGAGCAGCTATACTTTGGGAGCGGCACTGGTGACAATGGGAATTTATGGCACTGTAGTTTGCTGGGGAGATGTCTTGGAGAAACTCTGAAAGGCTAACTTTCTGGGCTGCAGCACTAAGGTTATTAGATGGTATAAATTAAGCCCAAGTCCCCCTCCTGTGAGATCACTAAGCACAAGTCACATGCTGGAACCTGCCCTAGCTGCTGACTCTGTATTACCCGCTGATGACAGCCAACGGCTAAAGGCACGCTGGCATCAGCAGCAGGGATGCGTGGCCTCAGACACAGCAGGGCAGCCAGAGTGGGTGGGAAGGGCTGGTGCGAGGAATGCATCTTTATCCCTTTTCTTTGTATGTGAAGATCTGCTCCAGAGCCACTGCAAATTCATGAGCTTTGCAAGCCTCTCTGGAGAATTCAGGAGACTAACTTACAGAGAGTACAGAGGGAGGGAGGGGCAAAGGAGGAGGGAGAGAAACTGTGCTTGATTTCAATGACAAACATCTTGAGGCACGGAGTAAAAGTCTAGTGCTGGCCAGGCCAACTCAGCATTTCCTCTGGATACTTCGTAAGACGTAAGCTGGATTTCTTTCCGGTGAGGGTCAAAGAAGGGGTGTCCAGAGCTGATCAGATGAATAACGACATCCAGCCAGTGCATCCTGCAATTCTTTTTTCCCTCTGACTTACAAAATGTACATATGACTCACCAGCATAGTCCCATATCTACACTCTCCTTATGGCCTCTCTCTTCGTAAGACTCTGCAACCAGCTTCAAGGCCCTTCTGCTTGCCGCAGCTACCCAGCACACGGTGCTCTGCAGGGTGGGGCTGAGAGCATCCCTAAAATGGTGCTCACCCACGAAAAAGGAAAACAGGGCAAATGTTTTTATAAACACGGTCTGTAAATGTGGTTTAATCTCAGCCTTTTACCCTGGGCAACAGCCCAGATCACTGCATTTCCATGAATACTGACCCAAGAGAAAGCTAGAGTTTCTTTGCGGCTGCCTGAGCAGTTTTCGGTGAATCTGCACGAAATGCTCAAGAACTAGTATAGGTGTCTCTCTGCTTGCCTGCTCTGAAGCGCTGCTGGTGACGAGCCCTGGATTAGCAGGGCAGGTGGAGAGCAGCTAGCTCTCCGCGGCCCCACTGCCCTGCCTGTCTGGACTGCCGGTGTTCTCTGTGCACTGGATGAGGGAGAGAAGCGCTAGGAAGGAGGCCACAACTCCACAGAGCAGGGAGGTCACAGGAGGACCTGCAGGCCCACCCTCCATGTAGAAGGCAGCATTAGGAGGGAGGCCGACAGCAAGCAACGAAGGGGGAGCAGAAGCTTCCTTCACTGTCATTACCAGACACACAAGAACGCTACACAAACCTCAGTCTACAGGTCACATGAAGTCACTGGTGAGTATGAATCTAGTATCCGCTGACTGGCACATAGATGTGAAATGACCAAAAGGAAAAGGCCTTAAAACACAAGCCCGGTGGGGGAGATAGTTCAGTGGTAGAAGCACCTGCCTGGCAAGCGCCAAAGTGCTAAGTTCAATCCCAGGTGCCACAGGACAAAAAAGCATAAAATACAAGCCCAGCAGAACATGGGCCCCCTTCTTTCAAAACTCCTAAGAGCCCACGTGCAGATTTCTCAACTCATCTCATGGGAACCACCTTCTGATGTCATCCTGCAGTTTCTAAAGCTAACATGTGAGATTCTCACCCAAACCTCACCACTGTTTACACACAGTGGATGGTTTGTGACTAAGTCTATATTACATATTGAGGGAACCTGCACAAATACCTTCGCTAGGCTAAAATGCCTCCACACCCAGGACTGCACTGAGTGCTAAGGAAGCTGTGAATTTCCTACCTCCTAAGTGAAGACAGACAGCAACCCCTGACCAAGAGGACACTCCTAGGAGTTGCCCAACCTAGTGCTGAAGAGCATCTGTGCTCAGTCAGTCCCCCTGATCCCTTTCCCCTATGCCACAGGGAACGGCTCTTGTGTGGCAAGAAGCCCACTGTGTGTACCACCCAAGGGGGCTCCTGCCCTTGGCTGAGGTCTGGGGCCTCTGACCTCCAAGGCCAGCATTTCCTGTCATAACCTAAGAACTGAACAGGAGCTGGAAACACTATTATGTAATACCTGAGTGAAATAAAACAATGCCAAAATTCACACTGAAAATTTGAGCCCTTCACATTTTTTTATCTATACTTGACACAAATGCTTGTTGGATTTATCTTGGAGTAAAAAGTGGACAAAGCTGGGCAGCCCAAAAACCCTGACACTTTAGTGAAACACTCTCTTGTAGACTTCCCACATGGAGGACGTATCTGTTTCACTGAAGCCACCAACTGGAGTGGGCTTAGCACCAACTGTACTGTGCTGTGACCTCACTTGCAAGAAAGTCTTACACTTTCCTGCTCTTCTGCATTTCAAATCTGCTATCAAGCGGAACCTAAAATACTGCAAAGCCGTGGAAGCTGAGGCCCTGTGGACACTGTGGCAGTGGGTGTGGTGTGCATGTGCTCTTCAAGGGCCCTTGGTGCCCTGCTGAGTTCAGCGTGGAGACAAACACACAGCGTACCTGTTTCTGAGGTAAGGCACAGAGCTGCAGAGGCAGGCAGCCACCAGCAAAAGGAACCTACCAGGTCTCCTGAAGCTTCCTGTGGGTCGCCTCCAAACCTCAACTCCTTCCAGGTACCACTTACTCTCTAAGAAAGAAATAACAAATAGGCCTGACCTGTGCGTCTGAAACAACCACGGGTCCTGGTCCACAGGGGTCACATTCTTCTGGCATGGTGAGAGTTTAATGCCCAGGCCAGCTTGCTGACCTCACAGCTCATTTGTAAGTACATGCTAGGAACAGCAGGTGGCTACAGGAAGCCTGTTGGAATGCATTAGCCGCTTATACTCCACCCAGCAGCAATACCTGTATTACACTACATTTGCTGACCCAATGCCCAAGGCAGAATTTGTAGCACAGAAATGTATTAAAGAATCTTAATGAATTTTATTTCAACAAGCCTATGGTTCAAGCAAAGCAGCTGCAGTTGTTTCAGGAACGCAATGTGTCTGCTTTACATTCTCCT